CCAACACCAGTGTTCAGCAGTCAAACACCAAATACAAATATTAACCCAGCACCAGTGTTCAGCAGTCAAACACCAAATACAAATATTAACCCAACACCAGTGTTCAGCAGTCAAACACCAGATACAAATATCACCCCAACACCAGTGTTCAGCAGTCAAACACCAAATATAAATATCACCCCAACACCAGTGTTCAGCAGTCAAACACCAAATATAAATATCACCCCAACACCAGTGTTCAGCAGTCAAACACCAAATACAAATATCACCCCAACACCAGTGTTCAGCAGTCAAACACCAAATACAAATAATCCAACACCAGTGTTCACCAGTCAGTCAGTGCTGGCCTGTTTGCCTCTGGTTATTCACACATTCAACACTTGTCTTCTCAGTCCTCTTTCGACTGTGCCTGCTTAAATGAAACAGATTAAATTTGGAGCTCAAAGCAGCCAGTGTTTTGCAAGAGGAACAGAGGATGCGTCTCTCCTCTGGGTCATTTCCATCCAAATTGGAATGGACTTAATTGGAGAATGAAGCTTTGTTCGTTGCAGCCTGCTCATCCTCTCTATGCATTGAGCTCTCATGGGTTGGTTTTGAGTTTCATACAAACCTGTGTGCGAGCGAGTGTGGAAACCAAATTTCTTCTTCATGCTGCGTCATTTTTGAAGTAGCAAAGTGAACACAGATGGTATTAAAGGAGTGGTTGCCCTGAGATGCATCAGCGGAGCAGCAAAGCAGGATGTAGTTTTCGTCCAGAACTCTGTCCAACTCGTGTCTTTAGGTTCGTAATAATATAGCAGGGGAGTACAGCCTACCTAGGCACCCTCGTTACGAATAGGGGCATTTTAAAAATGATCATAAATTGAGTGATGCCTTTCGAATTTCCGTAGGGGTTTTTTGTTATGAGGTATAACAAAGCGGTTTGGTTTTCATTAGCAGGTGAAAGGATCGTTGTTGAATTTATAAACACACACACACACACACACACACACACACACACACACACACACACACACACACACACACACGGAGTGTTGTGTACATTTGCATGAATAGCATATGCCAAAAACCCCTCTTGTTTCTGTTTTGGTTTGCTAATTACGTTCCTTTCAGAGTTTCATCGAGTGTTCACGCTCGAGTGGAGCGGCTGCGTGCCTGGAAACAC